TTTAGAAATCTAAAAGTCATCAGATATTAAACACACGACTTTGGTTGCTTCTCACCCTGAAAGGACGTGCACGAGAATCANCAGCAGGAAGCACCACCCTAGGCAAACTCCTCTCCAACGTCTGGCAAAAAAAAACAAATACAATTGTGTTTTAAAAACTACAAGTGAGCGAGGAGAAGTANATTTTTGAGACAATGTACCAGCTCTTGATGTTCTTCACTAGAGAGATGCGAGGTGAAATTCTCATAGCCTTTGGCAGGAGGATCACGGCCGCATACTAAGCAATCCCAGTAAGCAATTCCAGCAATCAAATTAGCTGGAGGCCGGTTCAGCTCGGTGAATGGATAGATGTGAGTAACCATTTCTAGCGGGTGACCTGTTTCAGAAACTAAACAGTGAGACTCGATCTTCATAGAATCAAGAGAGACGAATATCAATAACCTGGGGCGACATGAATAAGATCAATCCCACTGTTATAGACTCCTCTAAGGACACTATCAGGGACGTCAGTTAGTACGCCAACGGCAGTGATGCTGAGAGAACCAAAGTAGCCATACTTGTCCAAATACCGTTTGATAAACGGAAGGACCAGACTACCATCAAAGCCACGGGGAACCGGATACCTACTGATGTTCCAAACCACACATGTTTCAGCCCCAGCATCCTCCGGTGCAGCCATCGTCATCGTTACAGATTTTTCAAAACCTCAAGGAAAATCAAATTTTTTCAAAAATGGGAAAGCAAACCGGAGAGATCTACAACGGAAATCGAAGGAAAAGCAAATCGGAGTGACGAAATTTACCGGGGAGATTAGGACTCGGTTTCGGCATCGTTACGAAATCTCTGATTATNGAGTCGAAACAAAATTCCGTCTCGGACGAATATTAATATCTCAAATATATATGGGAGGGTTGAGAATGGGTTTCGTTTTAATGGGCCTACACGTTTATATAATTCGATCTTGTGCATCAGTCCTTTATTGGGCTGATTGGTTTTTATTCGATTCGAGAAGTGATTGATACCAAAACAGGATTTTTTTAACATAATTTGCAGGTAAAAAAATCTTAAAATCAGAGTTTTATATTCTGATTCGCTAATTTGTTTTTTCATTCTCTCCTCTCGATTGATGTTTATTTTAAGGAGAGGAACTTGAGATTTGTTTCATTTGTTTGTTTGGTTTCTCGTAGGGTTTTGCTAATAANAAAAAGAAAAAAAAATGGTAGGAATGTTTGTGTTGTGTGGTTTTGGATAACTTGAGGTGCAAGCTAGTTTGATTGTTTGATATGGTTTCAATGGTTGAAATGGTCACGTGTTTGATTGATTCATTATAAATTCCTTGCATTATAATAAGAAAAAGTATGTTTGATTCATTGTTGATAATCTATCTATCTATCTATACTTATAAAAGAGAAGTCACTTTTCCTACGTTGCGGCTCTACAGCGAGTTTGAAATTTGTTTTGCCAAAAATACCTTTAATGAAATCTCTATTTACAAGCTTTGCCATGATTTTTTAAAATAAAATATTATGTTTGATGATAATAATTATTGAGTTTGGGCTTGATTTTAAATTTGATTCATCCTTTAAGTTAGTTTAAATTAAAACCCTAGATGCAATCTCCATGTTTTCTTATATATATTAGATTTTGGGTAGTTGCAAATGAATATTTCTTTTTCGTGTTGATATGTGCTTCCTCTGTCCAACAAATCATAATTTGACTGCNGTATTTTTAGAGCCATTAAAGGTAATATATTTTCTCATATATTACGTCGTATGTTTCTTATCGTTTTTAATGAATTTTGATGATTTTCTAATGATAGGTTATAATGTTTCTCATTTTTTCCTACAAGTTCTCTTTTTTCTTTGATTACAAATTTCAGTTTTTTTGTGTTTCAACTCTTTTGATAAATTTTTTGTAAACGTGTTCTATAACTTCCAGGTTTTCAGAGTCAAACTTATGTTCGTTCAATCTTGAAGCTCTTGGGATCTCTTATGAATGTTTGTATTGTGTCTTGCTTAATGCCGGATTTGCTAACCGAATTTGTTAGCTAGATTAATGTCATGTTGTTATGAATTTACAATGTTGATGCAATGTATAGTATGTGGCCATCGGTTTTGCAGGAATAAGCGGATAACAACTGTGTTTACAGAAACGAGGTTCATCTCTGAAAGTGAACAAACTCAAATCCTATCCAATGTCGCTTCTGACGTAACTCTTTCGCGTACCAAGGCTATCCGTTGTGCTAAGTTTCAACATGGCGAGGCCATCTTCTTCCAGGTGATTAAATTATCTTAAAATCTTGATCGTTAATTCGTTATCGGTCAAGAAGTAAAGAAATCATTTTTCTTCTCATCTAATTTTTAAACATCAAAAACAGATTTCTTTCGTTCGGTTTTTGTTATGCTACTACTACATCACCATATCCGGTTATTCGGTTTTATGTAACTCGGGTGTTTAAAATTGAATTTGAAGGCTACGACTAGAGGTGAAGAAGAAATGACTCTGTTTTCGTTTGTAGCCATCGTTGGAGAGAATACAACTTTAGATGATTACAATTGAATCAAAATGTAGTTGGCATAACCCTAGCTATAAAAGAAACTATATATAATCGATCTATTATTTTCTTTATAAACTTTAGAGTCGCTTTTTCTTCTTTTCAGGTTTAAGATTGTTTTTTGTTTATAGTATTACTGGTTTACACCTTTAGTAAATATATTCCATGCTTGATCGATTCTGA